AGGGGGAGGGAGAGGCAAACTCCAGGCTAAGGGTGAAGCCCCACACGAGGCTCGATCTCATGACCCTGAGATCATGACCTGAGCTGAAACCAAGAGTCAGACACTTAACCGGCTGAGCCACCCAGGGGTCCCAGCAGAATTTCCTCTTATGTTTCACTGGCAGAGATTGGGACATATACACTTTATTAAATCAATTACTGATATGGGATTGCCATGATTAGTGCAGACCAATTAAAAAAAATTTTTTGAAGTATAATATACTTAAAAATATGTATATTCCTTGATTCATTTTTAAACTGGATCCACCTTTGTAACTAGCACTAAATAAGGGCTTTTAACCTCATTTGCGCCAGGGACTCCTTTGGCAATGTGGAGAAGCCTAGGCACCCCTTCTAGGAATGTTTTTAAATGTATAAAGTAACATATGTAGGATTACAAAGGAGTTACTTGGAAATGACATTAATAGAATTTTAATGCATTCATTTAGGTTAATTAAGATTAATTTGGTCATTCAATAAATTTATGACATAGTAGTATGTGTGCTTCTTTTTTTTCTTTTTTTTTTTTCTTTTTAACAAAGTCATTCTCTAGTGTTGTAGAGAAATCAGTGGAATGAAACAAATTGAGTAAATACTTAATTCCCTCATTCTCCCACCCCTGCTCAAGGGTAGGCTCCTTGCAAGGTCCCTCCAAGTCTTCCTAACTAATGATGGATATACCAACTGGCAACTGGTACGGCGACAGTGGTTCCTTTTAGCTGAGTTATGGTTGTTAGCTATATGCTAACTGGCTTTTTCTTACTGGGAAAGTCCTCGGATTAAATTTGGTTTAAAACATCTGAACAAAGACAGTTAGTATTGTAGCCCAACATGTCAATGGCCTTGATTCTTTCCCTCCCTTGTAATAATACTGCTGGCTCCTGTGTAAAAGGAAGGCGACTCTTGACTGGTCCATTTCCTCCACGCCTGATAATGGAGTCAGAAGGAAGCATGCTTCCATATTATTAGTTTATTTCTTCTTAAGTTAGAAGCAAGACAGAGGATGCAGTTCCTACAGGTTTGAATGCTTGATCATACTTAGGTGAGAACTGATGCAGTGAAAGAAAAAAAGCGCTTTAGCCAGAGTGTGCAATGAATACATAGCTCAGATCCAGACACATTCAGGCTTTAAATCTTCACCATGGTTGGCGATTTGTCTCCTACTGCCTGGGACAGTGTAGTACAAACTTTAAGGCCTTCTCTTCATCCTGTGAAGCCAGACTGGGTGCTGAGAGTCTCCCTTTTGTTTGCTTTCTCTAGGACGCTGCTGACTGAATCTATGTGATTTCTCCCAATCCGGGAGAGTGGGGCTGCTTTCTGCACACGCTCACTAGCCCCTTCCAGAAGCTCCCTCGTGTTGCCCTCCTGTGTGTGCTGGTGGCAGGCCACAGGGTGGGATGATATATGGGCGAGGGACTGAGTATTGTGTGTGTCGTGGACCATTTGTGGGGGTCTGCAGGCAGGCCATCTCCAGTGGCTCATGGGCAGATTCCTAATGGAGGCTGTGCCGTGGTTTGTATGGTCCATGTTGGTTTACTGCCCTCCAAGAGCCCTGGGTGCGGTTCTCCTAGGTGCACCCCACTCCCCTGTTGAGCAGTATATCTCAGTATTCTGGGTGGGGCTAGAAAGAGGGTTCTCTTTGGCAGCATCCTCAGAGCTGGGGGAGCCACTGCTCACTCACATGTTCTCCCTTCCCTCCACGGGGAAATCACAGGCTGGAAGGTTTCTCTTGGTGGGGAACTGTGTCACATGGGCAGGGCTGATGAGGTTAAAGTGAAATTGTTCTTCGTGCCCTCCTCAATCTATCCAATCTCAGATTTGTTTTGCTCCACAGTGTGCTGGGTCTTCTCTGCTGGACTTCCTCACAGGCACTTCCTTTAGTTTACTGTATAACTGTGAAGATCAGTGGTTCTTTGGGGGGGGGTGGATGGAGATGGTAGAAAATTAGTGGACATGCTCTTAAGAGAAATGTTTTAAGACACAAAGTTAAAAAACTCAAATGAATCTCTAACTGGCAAAATTTCAGGCAAAGTAACAGAAGAGTGAAAAACAAAAGTCAGGTTGTAGGCATGTGTTGGCAGATGGGGTTAACTTTCCAGGTAACTCATACTACTAAGTGTGTATACAGTTCCTTTGGGCCATTTCTACTTTCCATGGCTTTCTCCCTTTATCGAAAGCTTAACCCAGAAATTCTTTAAAATACCAATGGCTGTTTGGGAGATCCCTCCTCACCTACCAACCCTGGAGGGGAGGGGGCAGAGGGAATACCATTAACACAGAGAGAAAATGGCCCACCAGGATATATCTCAAAGAGGCTTACTTTCAACCCCATACTAGTAGATTAGTGTTCATAATATATATAATATATAGTTTAGGTAAATTACCACACTACAAAAATATTTAATAAAATCTTTAAGAAACTTAGAAATGACTGATGATTGATAATTCTCTTAAGTAAACAGACTACAATAACATTATAGTCACTGGCTAAGTTCCATCAGTTTTTTTTAATTCTCTTTGATTTTTTCTCTTGGTCTTCTGTTATCCTTTCTGCAGGTCGCTTCTTCAAACCCTTCATTTTCCTGGTTTGTAGTTTGCTTAGGTCTTGCTTCTGCATATGAATCCTTCCATAAGTTGTACCAAAAGTATCATGGGAGACATTTTTCTTCTTCTTTGGCTTGAGCGCTTTTGGCATTTTCATAGATAATTTATAAAGATCATCTGATGCCAGACGTGTCCTCCTCAGAACCAGATCCAATGAGGGACCCATCTCTTCCAATTCAATCCTTGGTGTTCTACAACCAGATTTCTTCAACAGCAACTTATAGCTTAGAAAGTAAATCTTGCCATTCAATGCAGTGAAGTGCAGAACATACTCTAAACCAGCCAGGCGGATATTTGGTACCGTGGGGCCTCTGAAGAAATCTTAATATCTTTTAGAGAGACAAACTTCTCGATACCCAATTCAATCATATCCAGCACATGGTAGTCATACATACGACCTATTACTAGATTATTTGGCCGCTTCTTATTATGGGAGCCAAACATAAATAAAGAACAATCTGACTTCTTTGAAAAGAATTCCAACGATGTCTGATCCTCAAATGGTCTTGTAATGTTTTTCTTTTTATACAGAACTCCATACGGTTTTTTCAGTGCATACACATCTTTAAGTACTTGTGTCACCATTGAATTTGCATTTCCCCCTTTAATCAGCATAGCATTTTTAATATTTTCACTGAGTTTCGGTTCTCTCTTCTCAAGGAATCTCTTGGTTCTTTTCGTTTTGGGCTTTATAACTCGATCCAAAGCGTCCATGGCTACCGCAACCTGTGTGCTTCTTTATTAACACATTAAATAACAAAATCTAGTGGCAGGTATAATTACTACAATAATTCCAAATTGCTGACAAGCATAAAGGATTCAACTGGTGACAAAATCACAGATCCTAATACACTACTGTTGTTTGTTGCCTACATTTATTATTGAAGGAAAAGCTACATTTCAATGAAAGGTTAGTGGAAATAAAGAGGTAAATAAAGACGTATTTTTTTCCATGCCCAGTCATAGACACCTTAAATTCGAGCTATGGACCAACTAAATGTCAATGGATCCAAGGTTAACAACACCTGAACTCATAGACTCACCAGTTGGATGCTGGACAGTTGAAACCATGACCCATTACAGTAGATGAAGGAAAATGGAGCTTTGGGTCCTGCAGATTCATTCTTCATTCATTCACTCAACAACTATTTATTGCATACATACTATGTGTTAGGCACCATGTTATGTACAGGTATACAGTAGTGACTTAAGAGACATAATCTCTCCACTCATATAGTTTTTAGACCAGTGGAGAGGAAAGAGAATAAAGAAGGAAAGATAGGTGAAGTAAAGATTCAGAGAGAGGGCAAGTTGGCCATTTGAGCTGGAATCTAGAGGGCTGGTTCAAAGCAAATGATGGGCAAGTCTCTAGCTGAATTTTTTAGAGGTAATTACTAAGAATTTCTCCTGAGCAAAGCTGACTTTCCAGTGGGGACACTCTGGACACCTGCTCAGCCCTTCCCTGGAGTAGTCCTGACTGTCTTCAGTATGGTGGCTGATCCCATTTAATTTGATATTGTTCAGTAAAGATCCCTATGACTTGCCTTGCCTTTCCACTAAAGCTTTCGGCCAGAGCCAGAAGTTCATCTTTCAGTGATTTGCCTTAAGATGCTATCTCTAAGAATACATTATGTCTCCAACCTGCAGCTTACAGTATCAGTGACAACATTTCAGGAAACACCATGATGCCCTGAGAAAACAAAGCTTCGTTTCTTTCTTGCTTCTTTCATTATAAAATATTTATTGAGCACCTGCTGGATAATAAGCATGATGCTGGGAGCAAGGGCCACAGAGATTAATAAGACATGGCCCTACCCCAAACAAACAACACTCTAGTGGAGGGACACAGGCATATAAACGAGTAAATGCCAACTGGTGTACCAGCTGCTGGAGGAAAAGCCTCTGGGAGTTGCAGGGGGATATGAAGACTGGAGGGGACAGTTCTACTAGGTCTGGAGTGAGGAGGGGGGCAGGCAGAAAGGGTTTCGTAAGAAGTCAATTCTTAAGCTTCATCTCGGAAGAGGGGTGAATAGAATGTTGCTAGGTGGTCAGGAAAGAAGGGACTTTGGGGCGCCTGGGTGGCTCAGTTGCTTAAGCGTCTGACTCTTGATTTCAGCTCAGGTCATGATCTCAGGGTCGTGGGATCAAGCCCCGTGTCAGGCTCTGTGCTCAGTGGGGTGTCTGCTTGAGATTCTCTCTCTCCCTCTCCCTCTGCCCCTTCCCCCTACTCTCTCTCTTTCAAATAAATAAAATCTAAAAAAAAAAAAAAGGAAGAGACTTTCTCAGCTGTGCACTCACCTGCCGCCATGGCCTTCCTCCACCTACAGGAGCCACGAATTCCTACTCAAAGTCCCAAGGAGGTGGTCCTAAAATTAGAAGCAACCTTCATTCAACCAATGCTGCCCTTACTTCTCTTCAATGGTGCTTGGAAACATGTGTGCCAAACAGACATTCAGATAGGGAAAAGACACGAAATCACAACTAGGCAAGCAAGCAAGAATCAGAAACAACTTGATAAGAGCAAGGAAAGGAAATGAAGTTAGTATTTCCATGTTATGTATTAGCATGTATTTTTTTTAGGTCCTCAAATCATCATGAGTGAATCAAGTTTTACATCGCCTTATACTGGGTTATGTGGTTCTAAACCTTGGCTGCAAAGGAGAATCACCCAGAGTTTTTAAAATGACCAATTCCTAGGATACACCCCAAACAATTAAACCAGTATCTTTAGGGGCAGGACACATGCATCTATATTTTTAAAGCTCCCCAAGATGTAGCCCAAGTTGAGAACCAGTGCCCTATGATCAGGGGCAGTAAGTTTTGTCTATAAAGGGGCAGAGAGTAAATATTTGGGGCTTTGCAGACCATACCATCTGTTGTGACCACTCAACTCTGCCACTGTGGTGTGAAAGTAGCCCCAGATAATACGTAAATGAATGGTGTAGCCGTGTGCCCAGAAAACTTGATTTATGGACACTGAAATGTGAATTTCATGGAGTTTTTAGGTGTCATGAAATATCTGCCTTTTGACTTTTTTTCAACCATTTAAAAATGTAAAAACCATTGTTAGCTTTACTGGCCATACAAAAACAGGAGGCTGGGAGTGCCTGGGTGGCTCAGTCGTTAAGCGTCTGCCTTGGGCTCAGGTCATGATCCCAGGGTCCTGGGATCGAGCCCCACATCAGGCTCCCTGCTCAGTGCAGAGCCTGCTTCTCCCTCTACCACTCCCCCTGCCTGTGTTCCTGCTCTCACTATCTCTCTCTCTGTCAAATAAATAAATAAAATCTTTGGGGGCGCCTGGGTGGCTCAGTCGTTAAGCGTCTG